AAATGTAGATGTCTATGGGCCACAGCATCCACTGAAGTACCAATAGGTGGACTGTGGGCTCGTTTGTCACCCTTATTCTATAAAAAATCATTATATTACTCGATGGTGAAAGAAAAAATTGTAAAGAAACATATATGTCAGGGGAACAAAATTACTGTACAATTGTGCGACGGATTGATTGCTCCAAATGCGAAGAGGTCTGTGCCTTTAAATTTAACTTTTTTTGAAACGAAATTTAACTTATTTTATTTGTCCCGGATAAAGAAGGAAACTGTCCTGTATTCTATAAGTTTCGCCGTCTTTTGTCGCTTGAAGCAAATAAAAAATTTAGCAACCCTAACCGTTACGACTACATTATTTAAAGCTTTCGTAAAGTCACTGAAATAGAATACGTGTAATCCATTACTTTAGTTAACAATAGCGTTCTTAAAACACAAACAAAAAACCATTTTTGGACACCAAAAAAAAAAAAAATTCCCAAAATATTTTTATAATTTAGAACTAATAGCAAAATGGATGGTTCCTTAATTTTAGTCCTCAAGAGTGAGAACTCATCCGCATTTTGATGCTTAATTAAGGTTAAAATTTAGATTTCTATGGGCCACAGCAGACAGCATCCAATTACCATCAAATGGATTGTGTGCTCGTTTGTCACCCTTGTGCTATAAAAAGGACGCCCCTTCCTTGTAATTGACCTGTCTGTAGTGTCTGTAGGTGACGTATTTGACCGGTTTTTAGGTTTCCGCTATCATATATTTATGTGCATACAATTTATAGATGACATATTTTCATTCTAGCCGTCCGTTTAAATAAATTGTAAAATACGTGACGGTAATATGGTCATCCGGTTTATATGGTCACTTTCTTCTAACTCGGGCCGTGGTAGCTCAGATGATTAACGCTCGCTGTAAATATAACAGAACGCGAGTAACCCGGGTTCGATCCCCGTCGGCACCAATGAAATTGTTAATTGCAATTTTAAGTGCTGATTTACCACGTGCTGGGCGGTGAAGGAAAACATCGTAAGGAAGCCTGCATGTCTGAGGAATAAGAGAAAAAATATTTCGAAGACATGTGAAACGCCAACACGCATTGGGGCAGCGCGGCGAACACTTCCTTGCCCTAAAACCCTCTCAGAAATTAGGGGAGGCCTGTGCCCAGCAGTGGTACGTATATAGGCTGTAACTTTTTACGTGACGGTAATATGGTCATCGGGTTAATATGGTCACTTTCTTCTAACTCATATACTACAGCCTTGTTTACATAGATGGCTCTGTGATACGATAGCTCTTCATGGTTCAATCAAACAATAAAGGGTCAAAAGGGTGATGCTTTATCGACGCCATTTTGACAGTTAATACTATAGTAAATATTTTAGTCGATTTTAGTATGGTATAGTGTAGTTTTTTTTTTTAAGTAGTGTTCTTGAAGTGTTCCTAATAATGGCCAAAGCTTCATTGCTATTTTTTTTTCTTTATATGTTAGTTACAGTATACGACTTTGTGTTTTTGTCTCGGTTCTTTTCCTAGTTTTGATTTTATAGAGCGGCAAAGCTTATGGTGACCATATTACCTCACATACCTTAACATTAAAAAAATTTCAAAAAATTACATTTTTTTACCGAATCATGATCATCACAGTTAGAGGAATGTGTAACGTCCCTCAATGGATTTAATGACTGACTTTTTTATAGAAGAAGGGGCAAACGAATATGCGGCTCACCTGATGTTAAGTGACTACTGCCGCCGGAAACATCCGCAACACCAGAGGAATTGCAGGTGCGTTGCCGGCCCTTTAGAAAGGAGTAAGCTCTTTTCTTGAAGGAAAAAATCGCCGGTGGTAAACTATTCCACAGAGAGGTCGAACGCGGAAGAAAACTCCTAGTGAAACGTACAGTGGTAGACCGCCAAACATACAGGTGGTGTGGATGGTATCGGGAGGTTTGCCGCGTAGTACGTTCATGAAATAAGACATGAAATAAATGACAATATGACACAATATAATAATAATGACTTAAGAATCTACTATGAGCCGTGGTAGCTCAGTGGTTAACGATCGCTGTAAATATAACAGAACGCGAGTAACCCGGGTTCGATCCCCGCCGGCACCAATGAAATTGTTAATTGCAATTTTAAGTTCTAATTTACCACGTGCTAGGTGGTGAAGGAAAACAACGTGAGGAAACCTGCATGTGTGAGGAATAAGAAAAAAAATATTTCGAAGACATGTGAAGTTCGTCAACACGCATTTGGGCAGCGCGGCGGACACTTCCTTGCCCTAAACCCTCTCAGAAATGAGGGGAGGCCTGAGCCCAGCAGTGGGATGTATATAGGCTGTAACTTTACTTTACTTTACTTTACTTTAAGAATCTACGGAGCTTAGCTTAGCATCCAACAATGCCGAAAGTCGTTGGTACCGAACTTGGGCCACTTTGCACATTTATGTAGTTCATGGGATAAATTCAATATTTTTTAATAAGTTTTAACCTTAATTAATTTAAATAACAAGGGTGCAATGAAACAAACGTTTATCGGGCGTACACCTTTCTCTAACGTTTGACCAGAGCGGATACGGCGCTAGCCGGAGGCAGCAGAAGGGCAGGGTCCATACAAACAGAAATAAAATGGTTTCCGACAAGATAACCGTTGAATCAATAATACCAGAAATTCTATTGACATTATTAATATTCCCGTTAACTACTCTAGGAAAGCTCAAATAGCTTGTGTTGGGAGTAGTTCACAGGCGCAGTTGAACCTAGATTTAATTTTGTGCTCAACACCTTACCATACAACTTCAAAGTAATTGAATCAACATCTAATCTTTTGTTGACGAGTCGACAGCCGACCTTAATCGACTAATTTATACTGTTGACTGAACGCGGACGTTTATGAATTTAACGACTTTGATGTTTCTATTTAAATAAACAAAAGTCAGGAACGCAACTTCATTCCTTTCAAATTTCTATCCAATATGAAAAGTTGAAAGTGGTTTTAAATAATGCATATTTCCTCGTGGCACCGATCTATGTATATTTACGATATCTCATATCACTGTTATGTTAAGTCACGAGTATCAGGGTAGAAATTCGTAAAGCGTTTTTTAAACTAAAAATCCCTAAGGAAAACTTATCTTAATTTAGTGCTTATCAATAAACTTAAAAAGTACTGTTCCCAAAACCCAATACGTACTATAATCACTATCGAATTGTTCCCAAAATTATACGTAGTAAGTCAATTGAGACTAATTTTCCTCATTGTACTAGGTGACAAGAAATGCTGCCCGGTACGTACCCGCCGCGTCTCCTCGACTCGTGAGCAATGTGGATGTTTTGATACCCCTTAGATCGAAGATGTAATGCTTCACTTTTAACACCCAGAAGTGTATACTTTTTTCTTAGTCCATAAGTCGTATCGATCCGGAAATACCACTGGCTATAGTAAATTCCATAGTGTGGTTGCAAATGGCAGAAAATTCTGTATAAAACGCACTATAGTGAATTGATTAATTATTTATCTCACTTAATGTAAGTGTCCGGCGGATACGGCTACTAGATCAAAAAATAATTTGTGTTTTGCATGTTTATTTATTTAGTCCGAACAACCTGCCCCGATCTATTAATTTAGATTTCAGATAAGCAAAGACCAGTTATTTTAAAAAAAATTCAATAAGTGGTTTTCAATGCGGTCAGACGTTAGTGAAAACCGCACGCCCGATAAACGCAAGTGTGATCACGGCTTTAGAGTTAAATGTCGACGACAGAGATAACCTAATTACATTATCAAACATTGCATAGGTTTTTTTATAGCATTGAGTGACAAACAAGCACACAGACACCTGATGGTGCTGTGCTAGGGCTATGGCCCATAGACATCCACATTTATCCTCAATTAAGAATCAAGTTGCGGATGCGTCGTCAACCCCTGAGGACTAAGATGGAATGCCTCGTTTCCAGTAAAAAGGGTCTCCGGTTCTTTACACTCACCATACGAAACACAGCAGCATTACGCTGCTATTTTGCAATGGTATTTTACGCTAATATAGCAGCATCCTGGCTCTACCACATAAAAAACTTACCGTTCATTAACCATATCTCAATGTCGCGGCAAAGAAAAATCTCTCTAAATATAAAACGGCATTTTTACTGTAAAACTTGCACTTTAACCACATGTAGACATTAAAACCTTTTATTTTATTAATAAAATTGTATCGAAAAGCCAACTACCAGTCCACCTGACGGTATGTGGCTATTGAAACCCATGGACACGTGCAACCAACTTTAAACAAAGATGGCCATAGATATAGTAGAGATGAGTCCGATATCATGTCACAAGTAAAAATCATCGATATTTTAAAATCATGTCATTACGAAATGACAACGACAAAATCATCAATGCTTTTAAATCATTTCTTGAATGAATGAACGCTTCGGTGATTCGGATCGGGCGGTCTCGGGATGCCTCGAGCGCTGCGGTGTGACTGTGACGTGCGACGTTGCGAGACTTCGCGATCGGCGATAGGCCGATAGGTACTGGCTGAAGTCACAGAACTTACAATTTTCGATAAAATGACCGGCGCGGGGGTGCACAGCACACTGCACGGAACGGCAACAAACAATGCTTTTACTTGCGTTATTTACGTTTGCGCGCGAAATGCACGGCAAATTACGAATGCTATTTTATCTAGCAATTAGTATCGCGTGAATCATTGTTTTGGTTAGACGAAGACTACCAACGAAATACGTAACGTGTCTCGCTATAATTGGCTTTTTGATACGTTATAGTGAATTTAGTTAAGTGAAGTTACCTATATCATTGATTTTAAAACCAAGTTTACACATTTAGCGTTTAGGTACTTACTTAGTACTTTGTGTACTTTGTAAAAAAAACTGTGTATCGTAACGTTCTACAGTGGGTGGACTTATTTATTGTATTTTCTATCTTATAGTTATAGGCAAGAAAGGTTTAGTGCTATGTTCTCAGTTTATATCTAAATATTCAAAAATGGCTTCAACTGTAAGAAAAACATCCAACGTATGGGTACATTTTGACATTGAATCTGTTGGTGAAAAAACAGCAGTATGTAAATTGTGCAGGGTAAAATTATCCTATAAAACTTCCTCAACAAATTTAAAAAAACATATTTTAAGAAAACACCCTACGGTTGAAATTCAAGATGTACGGAGGAATATGATGCACCAACACATTTCAGAACAACGTTTGGAACAGGAAGGTGGTCCTTCTAATCTAGCAGGATCCCAAAATCTTTCGTCTGTTGTTGCTTCTTCTGCTTGTGACTCAGCCGAGGGTCAATCATTGCCACAACCACGCGTTATTCAGCAGGCTTTAGTTCGTCAACCTACAATCGCTCAATTCACTCAGAGAAAAAAAATTACACCATCTGAACAGGAAAGGTTAAATAAACTGCTAATGAAATTGTTCATATTAGATTTTCAACCTTTCAGCATTGTGTAGAAAAGGGCTTTGTTGAATTTGTGCATGGTTTAAATCCCATTTACCAACTACCTAGTCGTAAGTACCTTTCAAACACTTTACTGCCATCAATGTACGAGCAAGTTTTGAATGAAACTAAAATAAAAATTACTGAAGAAGCAACAAGTGTATGCCTTACTACCGACTGCTGGACATCAAAAGCAAATGAGTCATATATGGCCATAACAGCTCATTATATCGACCAAAACTACATTTTGAAGTCGCTTCTCCTGCAGTGTGAAGTACTCCATGGACATCATACCGCCATAAACTTAGCAGGTCAATTAAGGACATGTGCATCGACTTGGAACATTACAGGCAAAATAACCATTGTTGTGTCTGACAACGCGAGTAATATAGTTTCCGCTATCACGAGTGAGCTGAATTGGCGCCATTTTGGATGTTATAATAATAATAATAATAATAATAAATCATTTATTCATCAAGTGACACAGACTCATATGGGTATAATTATATCACCAGTCACATTACAAAAATTACATTACATTAGGTTCATTAAATTAAATTGAAATCAAAATAAAAATTAAAATAATCAAATTAAAATCTCAATCAATATATCATAAATCAATGCTAATGTAATTAAAAACAATAAACACTCACAATAAATACCTAATCTTCCCTTCACATGTCATATTAATTCCTACTGTGCACAATGTGTAGGCCACAACAATGGTTGATGTAGGGGCAATCTAGTCTACTTGCTATCGCGGTCAGCATGCTGTTGTGGCTCCCCCGCACTCGCCGTACCAGTGACGCTGCTCGCTTGCGCATTGTAGTGTGAAAACAGTCCACACGTGCACACGCGAACATCGTCGATGCACTACAGTACCGGGGGAGCCCCACCAACATCCTGAACGCGTTATTAAACTGGACGCGTAGGGCACCGTACGATATTTGCGCATAGTCAGTCCACAGGCTGCAGCTGTAAAAGGAAGTGCAATAAGCTTTGAAAAGAGTTACTTTCACTCCCTCCGAACACCGTGCAAACCTCCGGACCACCATGTTCGCTCTGACCGACAGCGCCCTCCGCTCCCGCTCAATGTCAGCATCGTCTCTCAGTGTGGGGGTGACAATATGGCCTAAGTATTTAAACTCATATACTCTCTTTAACGGTATTCCATTAAGTAGAATAGAAGGCATCTCCGTCACCTTATTAGAACCACTCTGAAAGACCATACACTGGCTCTTTTTACAATTATAGATCAGCCCCTGACCAGCTGCATAATCCTCACACGTTCTCAGAAGCTTTCTGAGTCCACAGACCGAGGCGCTCAGCAGAACCATGTCGTCCGCGTAGCTAATGTTATTGAAACAAACGCCATCTATATGACAACCGACATGTTGCTTGCTGAGCGCCTCAATCAGTTCATTAACGTACAGGTTGAATAACGAAGGAGAGCTCAACCCACCCTGCCTCACACCACACTCCAGCCTGTATTGGTCTGACATAGTGCCCGCCCACTTCACGCTGTTACTTTGGTTCCCGTACCAAAACTTGAAAATGTGTACTAGTTCATCCGGTATATGGGCTTCCTTCATCTTCCTCCATAGAATGTCATAAGACACAAGGTCGAATGCCTTCGAAAGGTCAAGGAAACAAGCGTAAACAGGTGTTTTTCTTGTAGTGTAGTATTTGACAGCACTCTTCAAACACAATATAGCAGATTCAGTGGACAGCCCCGAACGAAACCCAAACTGACTGTCCTTTAACTGTATGTGTTGATTTAAATGTGTATTGAGAATGCTGTCAAACACTTTTGCTATTATAGTTGCCAGGGATATAGGTCTATAATTAGATATGTCTGACAAATCTCCCGCCCTATTTTTCACCACTGGTACCACAACAGTTTTCATCATATCCGCGGGCAGGTAAGAGTGAGATATGCAAAGATTGTACAACATGGACAACACCCTAGATATATGAGGCCCAGCGTGTTGTACATGTTCCACACTCAACCCATCATGCCCGGGGGATTTACCCTTTGAGATAGATTGTATTGCTTTCAACACATCTTTAGTTTTTATTCGGGTATTTAGATACTCCCCGCTCACCCCTCCTGTAGCCTGTGATATTGACGGTCCCAGAGGTGATTTGACAATAAAATTGTTTTTAAATTTATCAGCTATACCCTTGAGGTCATTTGTTCCATCCACAGTCACAGGAAAACCAGGCCGACTCCTCAGATGGTTAGTATTTTTCCAGAAACCTGTGAAGTCCTTTTTGCAATGTTTGGAGGCAAGTATGTCCATTTTTATCTGGTCTTGGTGGTTTTGACACCACCTAAGACGTGATTTAAATATTTTCTTACATTCATACATCTTTTTGTATACATCTCCTGTGGTAGGACGCCCACACAGCAACCACTCCTGAAGACTCGCCCTGGCCCTCCCGTGACTGTCACTGACATGTTTATTCCAGCCAGCAATATATTTAGCGCGGCAATCCAGCTTACTCTGCTTCCGCTCGCCCCCCCGGCCCTCCGCGGCGGCTTGTGATAAGGCGAGCACGATGTCAGAGTACAATTTATCGACGATAACTAGGTGTTTTGGGTCATTGCAATATTTATCCGCACATTTTACAAATTCAGACGGAAAATCTATCAACCTAAGACGTTTATGACATTCAGTTCTATAAAAAGAAATTTGGTCTGATGTTCTTTCCCCCCAAACCAATTTATTAACAGTATTAATAGGAGTAATTTTAATAGGAGTCAGGCATCCCAAATTACATTCACAAATAACAGGAAAATGATCCGACCATAGTATGTCATACTTGACATACACACTGCCCACAGAGGACTCCGCTGATTGCGACAACACACAATGATCCAACCAACGCTTTGACCCACTAGCTGGATCTATGTAGGTAAAAGTATCAGAAGTCAATCCCAACATTTTTATATCTACAGGTACCCATACAAACTCATTACATATACTTTTTAGTTCCTTAAAAAATAATTCATTCGGATGAGCGTTAAAATCCCCTAACACGTAAATAGGTTCGTTACTATATTCATTACTGATAGCACTTACAGTTCCCAAGCAGTCCGTGAATACAGGCAGGTTGTCTAATTTATTGACCGGCATGTACACAGACACCACAATAAACGGACTCACTGTCGTGACGACACGTATAGCACTCACTCTCGGATTATCGCAACTTATTACCGTAACACTAGGAAACACAGTGGTATTCCACAGCAGCGCTGTCCCTCCGTACGGTCTTCCGCGTAATAACCCTGCTGCCGTATCCACAGCCGACGTCCCGGTGCTGCTGAATCTGCTATCTATGCTACTTAAAAATGCCAGTTCATCTGGCAGCAGCCACGTCTCCTGCAGCGCTATCACCACGCACTCATCACATAATTGACAGACATCGCTGACCGCCCTCTTGACGTTTTTACAATTATAAGTAGCAAACTTGTAGGTCGTACTATCCATTCCTAGAGGTCAAAGGGCCGCCTGCTGACTTCACTGTGTCAGCTCGTCTATTTTTAAAATGCACAAATCGCCTAAATATTATCCCCTCCGGCCATATTTTCTCATCTAAAAATATAGAAACTTTCGACTCCGGCACCAGGAATTTATAGGCTTTATGATTTATTGCTTTCTTCATATTTATTTTCTCCAATGTCACTCTTACTTGTGTTTTCGCCCTTATGTAATCAACAATGTCAGACTCCACGGTATCAAGGTGTACATTGGTTATGAAAATAGGCATGTTCTTATCAGCGGCTTTAAACGATGAAACAGACGCTTCTGCTTTTCCTTTTTCGCCCAAATACCTATATCTCGGCTTAGTCTTACGCTTATTTACCATTTGCCAGTCATTAATCACTTTGTTTTCATGACAGGATTGAATATTCGACGTCTCTTGACCTTTCTGCCTTAGGTTAGATACGGGCGCAGATAATATTTGTGTAGACGTACTTGGGCCAGCACTTGGAGGTAACGGTGAAACTCGAACCTCCTCTCTGCACTCACAGCTGCTCGCCACCGCCACTCGCTCCACCTTGCCTGGTGCAGGCACCACCGCCGTACTCGATGCATGCTTATTGCCCATCTCAGGAGATAATGTCGTGCATACTATGACGTCATCATTACAATTTATTACATCGTTTTCACAGTTGCTTTGCACACTATTACGAAACTGTTGTAAGTCGTCTCCGTCCGATGTGTTATTATGGCTCAAAGTTAACCCAATAGGGCCGCTATCGACATTCCAAGCACCACCGCTTCTCATGTTTACATACTTGGCAGGAGTTAATGGCGGTGGTAGCGATTCGTACTTTAAGTTATGTACGTAAGATCGCAAATCTTCAATTTGTTTTACAGTAGCGTAGGTGTTTTTAACCTCTTCGATCTCCGCATTAAGTCGTGTCAAATCTTTCAATAGTTTCGTGCAATCGAGATGGTCAAATAAAATAGGGGGTAATTTCTCGAGTTCCCTAGCCACAAAAATTGGAATTTTTTCTGGATCTACACTTTTAAGCACGCAAATGATGTCATCCAAGTCTCTTTCTTCTTTTCCTTTCCTTTTTCTTGTAATTTTACGCTGATCCGTTGGTAGCGATTCAAATAATAACGTTTTCGATTTGCTTATTTCACTGCTAGTAAACGCGCTAACACATATTCGTTTCAATGATTCCTCGTCAATAACAGATAATTTATTATGAACATAAGCTAGTAGTTCATCGATCACAATATTACAGGCGACACATTTTATAGTATTCGCCATTGTGCAACGACGCACAGAGCGCGGTAACAACTCAAACACAGCCGACCTTTACCGCGGCGTGCGGGTGACTGAAATTTATGCACATTGTTTAAATTTAATTGTCAAGAGTGGATTAAACGTTGAAAATTTGAAACAGACGATCACCAAAGTGAAGAACATTGTAGCTTTTTACAAACGTAGCGCTTTGGCCACAGAAAAGTTTGTAAAATATCAAGTACAACAA